GGTTTGCGCGTGAAGCAGGCGACGGGGAGAGCTCCCTTGCAGCTCGTCGTACTCGTAAGGGTCGAAAGTACCAGAGGCAGCTTTGTTCAGCCCGGAACGAGCGACTTTTCCTCGCACCTCCTCCTCGATCCGCTCGAGCACGATCGCCTGCCATCGAGAGAGAGCGCTGGTCTTTTCGCGGGCTGTACTGGTAGGAGAGGCGGTGACGAGATGCATTGCGTTTGAGCGAAGGCGCTACGTCGGGCCCCTCTCGACGAACTCGCCCGCCTCGAACTCCGCGCGAGCGACTGTCGAAGTTGTAGAGGCGGTGAGTCCTGCGAAAGCCGACGCCCTTGCTTTACTGCGCTCCGGCAGTAGGCTCGTGTCCGTAGCGGCGTGACTGAGGCGGTTTGAGGACGGTTTCTGGAGAGAGCGGAGGTTGAGAAGGACGAGAGGCGGGCGAGGGTCGGCGACGAGGGTGCCGAGGCGTACGTAGGCATGGGTTTGCGAGGCGAATGGCTCTGGTGCGTGGCAAAGAGGGGTGGAAACGGATCAGTACAATGCTCTCACTAGAGAGGGGCGTAGGATGGGGGTCAAGCGAGGAGAGCAACAACATCGTGCGCACCCGAGACTGACTGGGGAGAGAGTTCGACAGCTTGCCAAGCACAAGCGAAGCAAGTCAAGGGAAAGAGCCGCAGGAGTCGAGCTCGAGTACCTTGAGACTCGTATGGTCGGAAAAGTCGTGCGGGCTGAGGTTGACAAGCCCAAGTGGCTTGTGCGCGTTTGTAGCATGTCGTTGGAGGATTGACAAGTGCGCACGCGCTCACTGCGCAGGACAAGCCGAAGAGAGGGATCGGAAGAAGGGAGAAGAGCAAGTTGCAGGTCCAGGAGGAGATCTCGGTCGAAGCGTTGGGTCTTGATTGTTAGCTCGTTGGCGCGACTTCTCAGGCGTCGTCCGGCGATGCGCTGCATTGTAGCACGCTCGTCGGAGCAGGAAGGGTCGTGGAGGTGCCTTGCTCGCAAAGCGGAGGGACTGCTGCAGTTGGGAGCGCCGTAACTCCTGACCCGCCGAAAGCCACCTCTGCCTCCTCATCAGTGCTCACACATGCCCACACAGACTATGCGCAAGTCCAGGCCAAGTGTCAGCGACTTGTTGACCTCCTCCTTCACCGCACTGTCTTGAGAACGCCAGCGGGATAGGAGCAGGACGCACGTGAGTCTCCATCCTCCTCCTTTTGGGCTCGCGAGAATAGCTGGATCTCCAGGAGCTGTGGGACGAGCGGTAGGCGGGTCCGAGGTGAGGTTGCGAGTGCGGACGAGGAGGACAAGCGACGGCGTGCGAGCGGGCGTCGAGGGCGATAAGGTCGGTCTGATGGCAGTGGGCAGCAGTCTGAGAGTCCTAGAGGTGTGGATCGCAGCAGGGAGACGAGCGAACGCCGTGGCTCGCGGCCAATCTGGGAGCGAGCGCCCGGTTGCGATCCCACTTTGGCCGCGAGCCACGGCGACCGGGTGCTCGCAACTCGCTCAGCTCGCGCTGTGTGGTCTCGCTTGTTCGTCCAGTTACTTCCACCGCTCCAATGCCTCGATGCCGCGCCAGCCGCGCCGCGCCCTGCCGTTGAGCAGACCTCCAACATTGGTCCGGACTTCGACGGTTCTCGCTCGATTCGCAGGCAGCGTGCTGGGCTAGCAGTGCGTTCAATCTCTTTACCGAGCTGTTCTGATTATGCTGACCGAGTTTCAAGCCCGCAGAGTCGATGCGGATCGCTGGGGCGCGAACCTCGACTTCCTCGCTACGACTGTCGGCGCCGACAGCCGTGGCCAGCATGTCGAGCCACGTCACCCGAGTTTCGCCGTCGTGATTCGCCCGACATCGGTTTCTGCCGGACGCTCGCCCGCCTCCTTCGACCCGCTCGAACGCTCAAGCTCGGCTTCACCCGCAAGAGAAGGAGATCGAGGTTCGAGGTGCGTTCTTCCATCCTCCCAGCAGTGTCTGTAGCGGGAGAACGAGGAGGGCCGTGTCTGCGAGGCGCTCCCTTTGGCAGACTGAGGACGAGGCGGGCGGCTCGCAGGGTGCGGTTCAAGATGCGGGCGTCGAGAAGGGTTGCGCAGGTGCTCGGTAGACTCTGCAGAGTCTGTGGAGTACGCCAAGCTTTGTATCAAAGCAGCAGGATGCGTGGGCGATGAGATGGGAACAGATCGAGGGGGCAGGCCTTCCTGGCCCGCGAGCCAGTGAGGGACAGCACCCGACTTGCGGCCGTTCTCGCTCACGACACGCTTGCTGACTTGCTTTAATTGCGCAGATGATGCTTACCCATTCAAGCTTGCTCGGTTCGTTCGTCACGCCTCCTCGAGCCTTCGCTTTGGCTCAGGACTGGCTCTCCTCCTCTTGCAGGCGACTTGCTTCGCGCCGTCGCGACGCAAGCTCACGCAGACTTGCACCCCTCTGCGCATGCTGCGCTTGCTACAACAACGAGTTCTGTCTCGCAGCAGAAGCCCACTCGGCTCGCTCCGCCTGCTCGACCTCGACAATGACTGCCGTCCCGCCTCTGCTCTCCCTCCATACTCGTTTCCTAACAGATTGGCTTTCAACTCGGAGGGAGGATACACGGATCCGGTTAGGGTCAACAGGCGAGGCGGATGGAGCGAAAGGTTCGGGTGCGAGGGTACACGCGAGACGTAGATGTGCGTACTTACATCTCGCCGGTTCTGCTTCAAGGTCGCTGACGTTCTCAGAGCGCAGCTTGTTCTCGCTGAATCGCACTCTTGTCGCAAGTTGCGCAAGGACACCGCGAGGGAGGAAGGCGAACTCTGGCTCGGCGAGGAGTCCGTGTCGTTGGCGTCCCGACGACAGCGTTCGTCGCTGCGTCCACCTGGCGCTTGAGAGCATGCTGTTCTTTTGGCATCCCTTGAGCTGCCGCGGACCTTCCGAAAGGACCTCCTTTCTGCTCTTTTCCTCGTCCATCGCGCTTTGCTTCGGCCTCGTCCCGCGCTTGCTTTGCTAGGGACTGCAGACTGACATTCCGCTAGCTTCCTCACGACCTGTCTTCACACGCTCGTCCCCCGTAAGTCCTCGCGACGCCTCACCCGCTCCGTCTCGTCATCATGCTGATGGCCCACTCGCTTACTCGTACTCCGCTCGCGTCGCACGCACGCAGTGACGCCTCTACTCCGACGCCTGCATGGGCATTCGCGGGTTCTTTCAGCTCGCGCGGGAGGCGGGGGCGATGGTGGAGGAGTTCGTGCGAGGCGGCCCTGCAGCGGTTGGGAGGGTGCTGGCGGGCTGGCTGAGAGAGAGGGAGATTCAGGGTGGGTCTCCTTCACTCGAAGCGTGCCTATCACAGCTGACTTTGCCATCTCCGGCGTGCAGTCCTATTCCTCGACGTCTCCTCCCTCACCGGCCACATCCTCGTCCAGCAAGAACAGCGACAGGCTCGCGAAGACCGACTCGGCGAACGCTTGCCGCACTACCAGGCAGCTTTCACGGCGAGATCGTGTGACCACCTCCACGCCCTCCTCCTCCCCATCCGCGCGGCTCTCCCTGACCTCGCGATCCATCTCGTGTCCGATCACTTCGACTATCGCCCGTCGACCAAGGAGCCCGAGATCGAGAAGCGCGAGAAGAAGCGGCTCACGGTGTGGTTCGAGGGTGCTATGCAGCTCGTCAAGGAGGTGAGGAGGAAGGGGAAGAATCATGTCGGGCATGCGCAGCGACTTCTGGAGAAAGCAGGTCTTGCTGAGGTGCACAGCGGGCTTCCCAAAGGAGCTGTTGGACTTCATCGCGTGCAGGCTGAGGAGATCGCTGGATGCGTGCGTTCGTTTTCTTCCATCCCCCGAGTTGAGCGGCTGCTGACGGGTCCTTGTAGTCGTCGGCTTCGGCCAGATGGCAGTGCGACAACGTCCTCCTCGTCACCGCGCCGTCCGATGCAGACGGTCACCTCGCGCGCGCCGCCCTTGCCGCATCCTCTCCTTGCGCATCGTCCAAGCCTCGCCCCCTTCACGGCCTCGTCGAGCCGACTCAGCACCTCGACCTCCTTGCCAAGCAGTCCGTCTCGCCGGCCAGGATCCTGACGCTCGCCGGCGACAGCGATCTGAGCGCCAACGCCGGCTCCGGCGTCGCCCGCTTCTTCGCGAGGATCAACTGGCAGACTGGCGGCGCCTCGCTCGGCGTGATCGACAAACGCGACCTGAGCCTGTCCCTCGGCTACTCGACCAGCGGTGTTGAGCTCGCCAACGCCGCACTCGCCATGGGACAAGACTCGACTGGCAGCGGCATCCTCGGCCTCGGCATCAAGGCCGTCGTCAACCCGAAGCCGGAGTACATGGCCTTTGCCGCCGAGGATTGGGGAGCCCTCGCACGCGACGACAAGGTCGAGGAGCAGCGGTTGTGGGACGAGCGTGGAGGAAGTCTCGAGAAGGCGCTGAAGGTCAAGGTGCCCGAGAAGCCATGGGGCGAGGAGATGAGGGTCTTTCGCGGCTATGAGGGTGCGGTCGTGTCGAAGATGGCGGTAATGGAGCGCGTCTGGGTGACGGTGCGTGACGAGGCGCAAGCTCGGAACCCGAACCCCTCTCCTCCTCGCCGACACAACCTTGGCTTGCCCACCTCGACTCCTCCTCGCACCGCACCTCGATCCCCGAAACAAAAGCTCCCACCCTCGCCTCAGACTCAATTTGTACAAGTTCGCTACCGTCCTCAGGTACCCACCTCGGCCGACCAGCTCGCCGTGCTCGACGCCACGAAGCCCGCCAACCCCGCCCCAATCGTTACGCCAACTGAGACGCCGAGCGGAGGCAAGAAGCGGAAGCGGGAGTCGTTGAAGCTGAAGGTTCCGAGTGTTGAGGCAGGCCGACAGGCGAAGCGGCAGGAGAAGGAGGGGAAGAAGGCGGACGCGATTGAGGGAAAGGAGAAGGGCGACGAGCCGGCCGGTGACAAGGAGAAGGTCCCACAGGCGACGCCGATCCGCGACTCGGCACCGACAAGGACCCGGCGAATCAACCTCAAGAATGCGGTCCAGTCGGCCGACTTGCTCTACATCCTCCGCCTCGCCAACATTGTCTTCACATCCGTCGCGCCGGTCCTCATCTCGAGTTCCCTGTCGCTCCTTCTCACCTCTCGCAAACGGTTCGACAAAGCGAGCATCGGGGCGATCCGCCTGGCGCAGGACTGCGCGGACTGCACCGCCGACGTCTTCAAGCTCGTCGACCTTGTTCTCGACTTCACGCTCAACCAGTCGCGACAAGGGACGTTCCGCGAAGCAAGCTTGGCGGAGACGGCGAGGCAGGAGCTGGGCCGAGGAGCAGACGGGTCTGCTGTCGCCGCGTGGGCGGAGGAATGGGACAGTCTTGCGGAGGAAGAGCAAAATGTTGCCCTCGAGCGTTCCGTGTGTCTTCTTTCGCTGTCGCAGTTCCACAACACGCTGACGTCGCCACTTTCACAGCTCCCTCTCGGCGACGTAAGGGTCGCCAAGTCCGTCCAGCAGCACCTCGACATCCCTCCTGTCATCGCCGTCTTCCTTCTCTATCCCGGCGCGCAAGCGATCCTCAAGGACCTCGTCGCGCAGGCATCGACTGCCGTCTTCGTTGCTCGCAAGGCTCGCGCTGGCCGCTTTGTCGCCGACCTCGTCTCGTCGATTCTCCTCGGCGGCGTCAATGGCACGCCCAACTTGGATGTCGACATCGACGATGCGACCGCAGCCTCTCGCGCTCGACTCGCAGCCGCATGTCATGACGACCCGGCGCTCGAGAAGGAGGTCGTCTACATTTGCCGTCAGACCTTCCTTCGCACGCCGTCGCATACCATCCTGCCGTCGACCGAGCTCCTCAACACACTCTCAACCTTCGCCCAGTCGCTCTCCCCCGATCTCGAACAGCGTTTCGCGTCGACCCTGTCGCTGCCCAGCATCGACGACCTCGCCTCCGTCCTCGTCATCTGCACTCAAGTCGCAAGCCGCCTCATCATTGAAGCGGCAGACGCTACCGCCCGCACGCAATACGACGAGGATGAGGCGCTTCGCCCGAAAAACCTCGCGCATCGCGGCAACTCCTCGCGCTGGCGCGACAGTGTTCACGAGCTGCTCGTCGAGAAGCTCGTCAACGCCGGCATCGTCGCAGCAGGTGCTGGTCGACCGCACGAGTCCGCATGGAGCGTAGAGGAGTGCGACGGAGCTGTTCTGGCGGGCCGGAAAGCGCTGCTCGATCTGAGTAGGCGTACGGTAAAGCGCAACCCGAGTGAGAAAGCGGGATCTGCGGCGCCGGCGGAGGACAAGGAGGAGGGAGAAGCAGACGAGGAGGATTCGAAGGAGCAGGCCTGGCCCATGCGACGCTCGTCTTTCGCCCAGCTCATTGCTGGCGGAGCAAGCACCCTCCTTTCGCCCGAGATCCTCCTCTTCTTCTTGGAGGAGCAGCTCAGCCAGTCGTCGGCAAGCGTCGTCAAGGATGAAGCCGGACTCTCGTCGACGACCTTCCTCCCGACACACGCTCCAATGAGTGCCGCCGACGCATGCTCGCTCATCTCCTCCATTGCTGAGGAGCCCGTCATCGTTCCTCGTGTCGCCGCCACGCTCAAGGACTACATCCCCTTTCTCTCTCGCATCAAGAGCCACGACCGGAAGACCGACGACACCCTCGGCAAATCGCAGGACGCAGCGGATCACTTCTACTACTGCAGCCAGCTCCTCTCGCTCCTCAACATCGACTGCACCACGCTGTCGCCGCACGCCCCGACTGCAGCGCAAGACCGCACCTTGCGCAACATTGCGGCTCAGATCGAGGCAACTTGGTCGGGAGGGGTCATCAGCGTTGGCAGAAAGCCGATCATGAAGCCAACGCCGAGGCAGATCCTGCAGCTGGCGTCCGGCGACTTGCTCGAGGCGTTCCGCATCGTCTTCCCATCCTTCAAGCTCCCGCACCTTCCCCGCGGCTCAGTCACCTTCTCCCACAATCGCATCCACGTGCATATCCTTCGCATCGACACTCCTCCTCCCTACTTGCTCAAGAGCTTGTACGGTATGTCGTCCCTCCTCTTTCTTTGCGATTCTCTGCGGCTGACATTCTTCCGTCTCAGGCTCAGCGGCTGCGACGCCTCGGAAACTGACAGTCGGCTGCTTCCTTCGCGATGCCTACGAGTCGGCCAAGTCAGCCAAATACTTCACCGGCCTCGCGCTCCCTCCCGCCAAACTCGTCGAGCAACATTCTCCCTCCACCTCAAACACGTCGACATTCTTCGACGAGAACGACCAGCCGCTTGATCGACGACTTGCCGAGCGCCCCGTCACGCCGCGCCAGGCGCAGGTCAAGCCGGCGCTGTCGACGCTCCCGTCCGTGCCGTGGCTTGGAGGCGACAACCTCGTCGAGCTGCGTCGCTTCCTCGGCCTTCAGCCAGATGGTTCGGGCGGCTACGACAAGAATGTCCTGGTCATTGCCTTCAATCTTGGCTCGAAGAATGTCGGCGTCGGCTGCGCTGAGCGCCCAGCAATCCCCGGCTCCGTCACATGCATCCGCGTCCGTGACGCCGTCTTCCTCGGCTCAGAGCGAGAACTGCAGCGTCGGGCGCAGCAGAAGGCGACACTTTCAAGCAACGCTGGGCCCTCAAAAAGTGCGTCTGTTTCAACCTTTTCTCGTTCGACGCCGTCCTTCGATGACAGGTACTGACTCTGACCAATCTACACACCCTCAGGGACCGCCTTCGACTGCCAACGCCAACGCCAGAAGCTACTCGACCAGGTCGCGCACGAGTTCGTCAGCGAGGCGGTCAAGACGCCTCCGCACGGCATCGGCTGGCCCGTCGTCGAGAAGGTCGTCGTTGCGATCGGCGGTGGCGACATCGAGGCGGCTTTCGGACAGCGTGGTAGCAAGGCGGCCGGCCCCTTCATCGCGTCAATCATCCAGCACTTCGAGGCGCAATTCGGCAAGGGCAACGTTGTCGCGCGCATTGTCAACGAGGCTTACACCTCGTCGCGCTGCGTCCGCCTCCCGTGCCGCAAGAAGGACAACAAGCCGTGCGTTGTTCTGCTCACTCATCCGGTCTCCGTAGCTGACTCTGCGGGAAACAGGCTCGTCAAGTACGTCTGGACTGAAGGTCCTCGTAAAGGTCGCCAGTTCTACCGCATTCTCTACTGCGCCGACTGCGAGCGCACGATCAACCGCGACGAAGTCGGAGGACAGAACATCCTCACGAACGTCCTCAGCGCCGTTCGGTTCGGCTTCGGCGCCTTCACCGCCAAGTTCGCCGCCCGAATGGGCTTGAAGTGGAAAGGCGTTGGGGATGCGGCGCAGATGGGAGGCGAGGGAGAGGGAGAGGGCGTGGGAGAAGAGAAGGGCGAGGGAGAGGAGAAGGGCGAGGCCGAGGTGGACGACCCGACGACTGCTCAGGAGAATCCCGCGACGACAAGCGCCGGTACTGCCGATAGCCCTCTTGCCGACCAATCTCTCCCGGCTGACGTCCGCCGCGACCTCAACGAGCTCGAGGACGACCTGTACCTTCACCCGGAGGAATACGTCGTTCGCCGCGACGCCATCCTCTCCCGTGTTCGCCAGACGGGCAGTTAGGCGACCTTGCAACGCATTTGTTCAGAAAATCTCGCTCAACCTGCTTGTGCTGTCCCGAATTTCTTTGAGAGTATTCACATGCTGCACTTAGGGTTCACATCGCTGCAAGCGCTTGTTGCCATCGACTTCTTCCTCTTCTTCCTCCGCTGCACACCATCAAGCTGGCTCGACTGTGGCTGAGGATGGCGAGACAGCTAAGCACCACAGCTGCGAGGCAGACTGAGCTACCCAGTGCTGCTTCGTCCGCTTCCTTCGCCTCCTTCACCGACCCTGCCCCTTCATCATCGACCTCGAGGTTGCCCGCGCAGCCCGCTGCCACCTCGAGCGCCAGACCAGCCACTCCGTATATGTCGACAAAGCGTGCGCATGCCCACGGACTCGAAGGAGGACGCGAGAAGGGCAAGGGGCCGGCGAAGAGGGAGCGCAAACAGGCTGGCATGCGGGGAAAGTGGTGGCCGACGCTGCACAGTCGCACTGGTCAGGGGCAAGGATGTACGTCTGGGGCATGCCGGCGCCGAGCAGCAAAGTCGCGGCTTTCGGTGCGCTCTTTCTCCGTCGCGCGGGCTTGTCCGGCTCGCGTCAACGCCTTTGCCCGCAGATCTGGACGGTACGATCATCCAACCGATGAATGGCAACCCGTTTCCGAAGGACTCGTACGACTGGGAACACTTTGTGGCGGTTCCGTCGTCCGCAAGTCGCAAGACTTGCTTCGTGACAGGTAAGTGTCGCTTCCTACTTGCCTGATACTTGCTGAGATGACTCGTACTGACCCTGGCTCCCGCAGCTACGCCATTGTCCTCTTCATGAACCAAGCCTCCCCCTTCTCCGACCTGAGCGCCGACTTCCGCCGCAAGATCCCCTTCGTCTGCCGGCGCGTCAACGTTTCGCTGCACGTCTTTGCATGCTTCGAGTTTGACGAGATCCGTCGTCGAGTACTGGCTGCGGGAGGGTGCTACGCATCGCTGCGCGCGCGGGTCGTATACGCCAACACACACCTCATCTCCCCCTCCCTGCACTCGCTCGCATACTGGCCCGCTCCGCCATCCTTCCTCGCCTCCCTCCTCCTCCAGTTCGTCTGGGGCGGCACCTCGCACTACTACGCAGTGCAGAAGGACACCGTCTTCCTCCAGGTCGAGCAAGGAGGACTCGGCCTTCTCAACCCTGTCGACCTCGATCACGCCAACTCGCTCGCTTTCCTCGATTCGATCTATATGGCGACTCCCTCCCTTTATCTCGACCTCGCCCTCGCTTCCCGCAATCGCACCCTCCGGCCTCAACAACCCGACTCGTCCTCGCCTTCCTCCTCCTCGCCTGCCTGGTCTCCCTGGTCCATCTTCCGCGCCTCAAAAACAAGGATCAAGAGTCATCTATGGTCTCGTACCCTTTCTGCACTACGCTCTTCACCCCTGGCTGTGTCGCTGTACGGGCTTGGACCCGCTCCCACCGCCTCTTTTTTGTCCCTTCCTCCCTCTCTCTTCTCGCCGCGGACTCACCAAGGTCAAAACCATCGCTCAACTGTACCACCATCATCGCATCACCAACAACTGCCAACCCGGACTCTACACACGCTATCTCCCGACCTCGCCCCCTCGCTCCTCATCCGGTCGCCTCGCCGCTCGGCACGACTGGCTTCTGTTTGTGGCTGCTCACCCTCTTCTGCGTTATTATCTTCCCCTCGCCGACCTTGCTGGAACCCCCATCCCTCTCCCTACTCCTCAGGACCCGCCTCCTACCGCCTTCTCCTTCCTCGGCCTCCCTCACGGCTTCTCCGCCTCCGCCGCTCGCCGCGCTCTCGTCGCCCGCCGCACAGTCGTCGCACTACACCCACGACTCGAGCCGCACTTGCCCCAAGCCGTCCCACAGGCGACGTCCACTCGACTTTGGCGCTGGCTTCGTCGTCAACCGGCAACTCCGCGGGAGGCAGACACGCATTGGAAGATTCTACAGGGCGCACTTACGACTGTCGACGGCAGTTACAGATCGCTGAAGACGACTGCTGCATCTTCTGCGGATTGTGCGACTCCCTCATCCACGCCCTCTTCGACTGCGACTTCTCCTCGTCGTACTGGTCCGCCCTCGTCAGCCTTCTCGCCCACAGCATCAACGACTACATGACAACGACGACCCTCGCGCCCGACGAGCTTCTCCTCGGCCTGCCCACCCTCTCAGCCGTCACCGACGTTTCGTCCTCGCCTCTTCTCCGCGCCATCGTCGCCATCGGCTTCCAAAACGCTCGTCGACACTCGCTGGGCTCGCATTCGGCCGACAAACCCCACTCGGACGTCGCCGTCCGCCGATACGCTGGCAAGTCGCGCCTTCGCAGCCATCGCCGTCCGCCTCGAGTAGGCTTCCTCTCGGATCCTGGCGGGTCCTTCGCCCTTCTTTCGCCCTCGCTTTCTTCTTCCCGTTATAGCCTTTCAGGACTGAGCGTACTGCGCCTTTAGTGTGTAGGAGCTGCCCCTGTAGTTGCGCTTCCAGCGCGATGGGCCGTTGAGCCCGGGCTATTGCCTTGCAACGCATTGATACAAAAAAAAATCGAGTACATTGCAGTAGACAACGTCAAGTGTATTGCGTTGTCCTCTACGGAAGCAAAAGCGTCGAAGAGGCAAAGAGAGGAGTGCGGCTGATTTTCCGCCAAGTCCCCGTCGACGACAGGAGCTTCGATGCGTGCGAGGTTCGTGCGTCCATGCGAAAGGGTCCATTACAACGAGTGAATACAACCAGTTTGTAATGCTGTATAGCCCGAGGTGACGTTGTCCGCGCCGTGCGCAGTTCGATTGATGCCGAAGTCGTCTCGCAGCGACCGGACTCTCTTGCTCTCCCTCTTCCACACGCTTACCCGTCGCCTGCTCGACGAGCGTGACAGGGACTGCTGCTCAACGCACTCGCAACCATGCCCTCGCCACTCGCACTCTCGCTCGCCGCACTCGCAACCGCATCCCACCTCGCAGCAGCATCGCCACTCGTCCCGCGCTCTCCTGCCCTCGACACCCGCGCAGACAGCACACAGCGGTCACACATCACCGTCCCCATCCGCAGACGCAATCCCGACGCACTCGCGCGCCGCGACGCAGACTCGTTCCGTCGCAAGGCAGAGTCGCTCAGGGCAAAGTATGGCGGGATCGCGCCCAACATGGTCAACGCCACGCCCGCAGAGCGCGAGAAGCGACAGAACTCGATCCAGATGACCAGCTACCAGGACTCGTGAGTGTCGCGCACCATCTCACCAGCCTCGTCGGTGCGCTGACGGACGCTCGCTCCCTCGCTCCTCCTTGGCACGCTCGGTCGGACTCGCGCAGCGAATGGTACGGCGAGATTGACGTCGGCACGCCCGCGTCAGGCTTCTCTGTCGTCCTCGACACGGGTTCGTCCGACCTGATCCTCGCCGAGCCCAACTGCCAAGGGTGCAACTCTGCGACGCCCGGCTACTCCCCCTCTTCGTCCTCCACCTCGTCAACCTCTCAAAGCAACTTCCAGATCACCTACGGATCGGGCAGCGCGAGCGGCGCACTCGTCAAGGACAAAGTCAGCATCGGCAACTACTCGCAGCCGAACCAGATCTTTGCCGCGTGCGACTCGCTTCAGAACATCGTCGATGGCACGATCAGCGGGATCCTCGGACTCGGGTGGCAGCGCATCGCGAGTTCGGGAGCTGAGCCGCTCGTCCAGTCGCTCGCGGCGAACGGGACTCTCCCGCAGAACGTCTTTGGCTTTGCCTTCCAGTGCGTTTCGTTTCCCCCCATCTACTGCTAGCTCAGCTTACTGACGCGCTGGACCCCGCGCAGGACCCACACGTTCACGACGCAGTCGTCGCCGACGGCGCCGGGCGGCGAGCTGACGATCGGCGGGCTCGACACGAGCAAGTACTCTGGCTCGATCAACTGGATCAACATCGCGCAGCCGCCGGGGTACTGGGCGATCCCCTTGCAGGACATCACGGTCGGGGGCAAGTCGCTCGGGATCACGGACGACCAGGTCGTCATCGACACGGGCACGACGCTCATCGGCATGCCCACCGCCCAGGCGGAGCAGATCTACGCCCAGATCCCCAATTCGCAGCAGATCAACCTCCAGGGACAGTCGGGGTACTACTCGTTCCCGTGCACCCAGAAGGTCGACGTCAGCTTCAAATTTGGAGGCGTCGACTACCCGATTCAGGAGAACCAGTTCAACGCGGGCGCCGTCGATTCGCGAGGACAGTACTGCCTCGGCGCCGTCTTTGCGCTCGAGACGCAGTCGAGCAGCATCTCGTTCATCGTCGGAGAGTGCGTCCACGTCCTCCCTCTCTTTCCGCTCCTTCGCCTCGTACTGACTCGCTCGGTCGTCTCGCTCGCAGCGCCTTCCTCACCGGCGTCTACAACGCCTACCGCTTCGACCCGCCCTCCGTCGGTTTCGCCACCCTCGGCTCTGGCGGCTCGTCCGCCTCGTCGGGCTCGAACGAGTCGTCCTCGTCTGGCTCGTCGTCGGGCGGTACGAGCGCCGCGTCGTCGAGTGCCGTGAAGAAGGGCAGCGCGGCGGTCGCGCTGGTCGCGGCTGTTGTGGCGGCGCTTCTCGCTTGAGACGGGCATACAGCTTTCCGCGCTTCTACACTACAGACGCTTTCCCTTTCCCCTTCTCTCTTCCCACGATGTAGCTAGTACAATCTTCCACCGCCGCATCCTCCCTCGCTCATCCCCTCCAGTCCAGTTGTAGCACTACTCTCCAGCCGCATCCTCTCCACCTCGCTCGCTCCAGCCGTCTCACTCTATTCGTATCTCTCCAAGATCTGCTTTGCACGCTGCAACACTACATTTTGCATCGCTTCTCGAGTAGCGAGGTCGGCCCCCGTACTTGCGTGAGGCTGTGCGAAGTGGCTTGCCCCTCCTCTTCCCTTCTCGCCCACCCACGCTTACAGACCCGCACGGCTACGATGGGTCTGTTCGGCGGCAAGAAGAAGGACAAGATCCCCGAAGTCGGCGGTCCCACCTCCTCCTCCTCGTACGGCCACCCCGGACCCGCACCCTCCATCTCCGGCACCTCGTCCTACAGCTCCAACCCGCCTCCTTCGTACCGCACCGCACCTTCTTACGTACCCCCGAGCCAGGGAGGGCAGGGGTACGCGTCGACGAGTCACTTCAATCGCCCGCAGGCCCCACCGACGCAGGGGTATGGGCAGGGGCAGGGGGAGAGACCGCCTGTTGAGCCGGCGGGTGGGAAAGGCAAGGGCAGTTGGTTCGGGAAGAACAAGAAGGGAGAGGACATGGAGGCGAGGAACGAGTTGTTGCAGGGTGCGGCGGCGCAGGCTCCCCCTCCTTCTTCGAGATACGGGCCTGGCGGTGGAGACCCTTACTCCCCAGCACAGGGAGGGTACGGCCAACAAGAGCAGCAATTCGAGAACGAGGAAGATGAGGAGGTCGAGGGGATCAAGCAGCAGATGCGGTTTGTCAAGCAGGAGTCGCTCGCGAGTACGAGGAACGCGTTGAGGATCGCGAGGGAGACGGAGGAGACTGCTAGGGCGACGCTGGATCGGTTGGGAGAACAGTCGGGTGCGTGCGCGGCGGCTCTCCTCTCGTGAGTCTTCGAGTGCTTCGAGTGCTGACGATCAGAACGCGTCGATGCGACAGACCGCATCGCCAATACCGAGCGTCACCTCGACCTCGCCAAGGCGCACAACGACCGCGCTGTCGACGAGACCAAGGAGCTCGAGGCCTTGAACCGCTCCATCTTCCGCCCGAACTGTTCGTCCCCGTCCTCCTCCGACCAAGGTGCATGCGCATCGCTGACTCCGCATGCCCCGCAGTCACCTTCAACAAGCAGGCAAAGCGTGACCGCGAAGAACGCCGCTTGCTCGACCGGCACAACGCCGAAAAAGCCGAGCGCGAGCAAGTCCGCCGCGAGCAATACGAGTCGCGCCAGCGCATCGACAATGCGTTCAACCGGATGGACCGGGACGCCGAGAATGCCGCGGGCGCAAAGGCACGTGCCAAGGCTCGCGGGAGCGAGAGGACGAGGTATCAGTTTGAGGCGACGGCGAGCGACGACGAGATCGAGGACGAGATGGACGACAATTTGAACAACCTTGCGCACGTCACGGGCAACCTGAATTTGCTCGCCAAGGCGATGGGCACCGAGGTTGACGGGCAGAACAAGAAGTTGGGCAGGATCACGGACAAGGCAGACGTGCTCGACAACAAGATCGTCCGCTCAACCCAGCACCTCGGTCGCATCAAGTAGTCGCTCGGCACGCGCTCGTCCTCGTCGCCTATACCCCGCACTGTTCCCGCCGTTTCTGTATCGCCGTCGTGTCGCCTTTCGGTTCTTGCGTAGCTCTCGCCTTTCGAGCCTGTATCACTCGCTTCGTCCGTCTCTCGCGCAAGCAGAGTCACATATGCACGTCATTTCAGGACTTGCGGGCAGCTTCTACAGCTATTCGGATGAGGAAAGTCAGTGTCTGCGCCAGTAGAAGCGGGAGGAGAACGAGTTCCTGCACGCACAGTCGGCCAGTCCATCTCGATGTCCTGCAGGCTGCCCTTGCCCTCGTAGATCTGGCGTTGTCGACGTCAGCGAGAGGTTTCCGCGCCCCAACGCAGCAGTTTGCAACGCACCTTGTCGATCGTTGCCTGCTCCGGCAGCTGGTATCGCTGCCTCGGCTCAGGCTTGTCCACCGCCAACTCCCTCCACTTCTCCAACTTGTCCCTCTTGTACCCATGCGCCTCCTCAGCGCGGTTCCAGTGGCCCCACGAGAACGACATGAACGTCGTCACGCGCTTTGCGGTCAAGTCCAGCGCCATGCTCACGACTGTGCCGGTCTCCTCGAGCCAGCTGATTTGCCAGAGGTCGGGGCGGATGCGTTGGTAGTACTGCGGTCGGAGGAAGGCAGCGTGAGTGTCGAGGAGACGAGTGAAAGGAAGAGCGAGACGAACGGCGGTCTGGTAGTTGCTCCTGCCCGACATGGGGCCGCCATGGATCCTGCACAGTAGAGACAGGGTTACCTCGACTTGTCAAGAGCTGGGAGGAGATGCCGGGCTCACGCATAGACGATTCGTTCGTGATTCGGGACCCAGAATTCGCTGAAATGAGCAGGGCGTGATTAGCGGGGAACTGTCAAAGTGCAGCCCAAAGAAGGACTCACTACTTCCACCTGCCAGAGTGTCAAAAAGGAGCGGGTAACGCGAGAGAGCAACACAGTCAGTCGAGCGCGAACTGCGAAGGTCAACCCGTTGCGAGCCCGCAACGTCGCTATGCAAGCTCACCCGTTGTCGTAAGTGTCTAAGACGACCAGACACGTCAGCTCATGGCGCGCACAATCAGCCCAGTGGCGTACGCACACTCGAGGTGCTTGTTGAGAAGTTCCTCCTCGAAGTGAGCGGGTACAGGTCGCGACTCGTTCGTTGCGGGCATGGCAGCGTGTTGTGGACGTCGAGAGAAGGAGGTCGAGTGTGTCGGAAGAGCGAAAGAGACGCATCAGCAGCCTGTGCGCACTGCGAAATACGCCGCAAGTTCGGCCTCCGCTCAAAGTGTCGTCGCAGTCCACGGCAGTCGACCCGGGACAAACGCTTTTCCGTCTTGTCAGCAGGATCCGGTGCGCTCAGCAGCTGCAGTTTGTAGAAGAGCGCTCGCTCGCTTGCGTCGTCGGTAGGGGGAGAATCGAGGATCGTTGCCAAGCGGACCAACAACGCAACAACGTCGCCGGGTTGAGTTCCACGCTTCCACGCTGCTCTCCTTGTCCCTCCTTGGCCCGTTCAGCTGCTGCACAGAGACCATGGCGACGCACACATTCGCTTCGCCTCCCACCCGCTTCACCGTCGACATCCCGCAGTCAGAAGTCGACGAACTTCACTTCCGACTCGACAAGAACCGCTGGCCAGCGGCAGAGATCGTTCCGGAGGATGGGACGGACGATCCGACGGCGTTTGGTCTTGGAGCAGGACCGACGCTGCCACTCATGAAGGAACTGGCGAAGGGTTGGCGCAAGTTCGACTGGAAGAAGGCGCAGGACGACCTCAACACGTACACAGGCTTCCCCTGGCACTCCTTTCGCCTTGTAGGCTCGCTGACAGGTTTCTACGTCCCACAGCTTCGAGCACTACACTGTCGAAATTGAGGATCTCTCGATCCACTTCCTCCACCACCGCTCGACTCGTCCGAAGGCTGTTCCCCTCATCCTCTGCCACGGCTGGCCAGGCCACTTCGGCGAGTTCCTCAACGTCATCCCGCTCTTGACGGAGCCGGCGGACCCGTCTGCACAGGCGTTCCACGTCGTCGTGCCCTCGATGCCTGGTTATGCCTGGTCTTCGCCTCCTCCGTCCTCCAAGTGGAGCATGTGCGTTTCTTTGCTTCCCTTTCGTACTGCTCTTGATACGACTGACCCATTTTCGTCGCCAGGCCTGACACCGCGCGGGTCTTCGACAAGCTTATGACCGGGCTTGGCTACGAGAAGTGCGTCCATGAGCTCCGCGACGCTTCTTGAGCGTTTCTCGACTGCGCAAGACGATGCTGACACTGCAGCTGGGCAGGTACATGGCGCAGGGCGGAGACTGGGGCAGCATCGCTGCTCGCTGCCTTGGCTCGCTTCACAAGGATCACTGCAAAGGTCCGTCCCGTCCCTATCTTCGCTACCTCTCCTTTCAGCTTCCCGCAACCTCGATGCCACACACGCACTGACACGTCGAAACCGGCGCACCCCGCAGCCGTCCACCTCAACTTCCTCCCCGTCTTCCCGCCCGTCCCGATGTGGCTCATCAACCCACACACGCTCCTCGCCTGGGCTCCGCGCTTCCTCGTGCCGGAGAAGCAGGCTGCGCGTATGAAGCGCGGGTTGGCGTATCTCGAGAAGGGGTAAGTTCGGGCGCAGGCGTCGCGTTTCCGTCGAAAATGCTGACAGGTCCTCTTCACATTGCCTCAACGTAGCTCCGCCTACTACGTCATGCAGCAGTTGACGGTGGGATTGACCATACTCACACCTGACGAGCCAGGCTGACGCTTCAACGCCCGCAGCCTCGCACGCCCGCGTACGGTCTGACCGACAGTCCCGTCGGCTTGCTGGCCTGGATTGGCGAGAAGGTGCGTCCCCTCCTCATCAGCATAAGCTCAAAGCTGACACGTAGATGCGCACAGTTCGAGCCGACCATTCAGGAGGCGAGCAAGCAAGCCCAGCCGACGTACGTTTTCGCCGGTAGCTGTCGCTCGCCACCTTCGCTAACGCCCCGCTGCGCAGCCTGACTCGTGACGAGCTCTACTTCACCTGCTCGCTGTACTGGTTCAGTGCGTCGAGTCCGCGCCTCCTTTGTCGCGCTTGCTGACCTCCGTTCCGCTACCTTCGCTCCGCAGCCCGCTCAATCGGCACCTCCTTCCTCCCCTACTCGCTCAACCCGCACTTCACCACCTTCCTGACCGACAGCAAGTACCACTTGCCCAACTTTGCCCTCTCGCTCTACCCGGGCGAGATCTACTGCCCTGCAGAACGGGACGCTAAGCGAACTGGCAACCTCAAGTGGATCAAGGAGGCTCCGGACGGAGGACACTTTGCTGCGCTCGAGAAGCCCGACGTGTTTGTCGACCATCTCAGGGAGGCGTTCGGCGTGATGTGGGAGAAGTGACCGATGGGGGTTGCGGGCGGATGTTTGGGTGTTCAGGGTCTAGGTCCTTAGTCGATCGCCTCGTGCAAAGCAGCGCAGCAGTTCCTGTCGACCGGTCACCTCGCTGAGCAGCTCGAGAGTCAAGCAGGAGGTCGGTGAGCAAAAGCCCCACGCGTAGAGACAGTAAAGCTTGTAGCAGCAGCTGTCAGTAGCATGGACACTCTGCTGACGAGCACACGGCTCCAGCGGTGCGGCGAGGTCTGCGAGTGAGCTGTTCTGGGTCAAGAGGAGGAAGGCGAGGTTCGCCAGGACCACCAACGCTGCACATCACCATGAGCGTCCTTCCGCCTGCCGAAACGCTTCAGTCGGTGGTCTTGCACACGCTCGACCAGCGCGGCACCATCCCCGACACCCGCTCGCTCGCCCTCGCCCTCCCCGCCGGTGTCGACACTTCGGCACAGCTTCCTCAGCTCGACGCACCCGAGGCCGCTGTCGTGGGCCCCAGCGTGGACAACCAGAATGCCTTGAAGGCAGTGCTCGACTCGCTGGCTGCCCGTGAGGTGAGTTGACCGTGCTTCACCTCGACTCGTTTCTTTGCGATGAAGTTGCGGGTCGATGAGGAGGCCTCTTGACGGCTCGCTGACAGTCTCGCATGCACGCAGATGGTCACTTTCCGCCAGGTCAACGTCGACCAGCACGTCCTGACCTCCGAAGGCAGTCAAATCGCCCAGTCCGGCTCTCACGAGTATCGCGTCTGGTCCGCCTTGCCGCCTCCCGCTTCCGAGACTGGCTTGACGGCCAAGGAGATTGAGGCAAAAGTTGGAAAGGACACGGCAAAGGTTGGGCAGGGAAAGGCGATGAAGAACAAGTGGGTTGTCAAGAAGGGCGATGGGTTCCTCCAGGCGGTGCGTTCGCTGCCCTGCGTTCCCCGCCGAAGACGATCTAACGAAGCTTCTGCAGGTCGCATCGGTAGACGACGTGACGCAGAAGGACTTGCTGGCGATTCAGAGCAGCGGCGCACACTCGGACGAGAAGCTGTTGGCGGAGTTGCGGAAGCGCAAGCTGATTGAGAAGAAGTGCGTACATCAGCGTCTTTTCCTACGGTGTTGTTCGCTGACAAGATTGGCCCGCGCCCTGCAGGAAGACGTTCTACTACTCTGTCGAGAAGGGGCCGAACTTCGCGACAACAGTCGCCAAGCTGGAGACGGACTTGACGGTGGAGTTGCTGAGCTCGTGCGTGGACCTCCCTCCTCTACGAACATCGTAATACTGACCTAGTTTGTCTACAGTGGAGCATGGGAGCAGGCGAGCTTCAAGAAGTACAACTTCGAGGCGGAGGGTGCACCAACGTTTGGCGGCGCGCTGCATCCGCTTATGAAGGTCCGCGAGGAGTTCCGCAACATCTTCTTCGAGATGGGGTCAGTACAACGTTCGCTCCATCACATACTCGTCAGCTGACCTGAACTCACCCAGCTTCACCGAGATGCCCACAAACCGTTTCGTCGAGTCGTCGTTCTGGAATTTCGACACCCTCTACGTCCCTCAGCAGCACCCTGCACGAGAAATGCAGGACACCTTCTACGTCAAGGGTGCGCCGCTTCACCGCGCTTCCCCTTTTGCAGCGACTGACTCGGTCTCTCCCGCAGACCCCGTCGAGTCGACCGGTTTCCCCGGAGACTACTACGAGCGTGTCAAGCGGGTGCACGAGGTCGGAGATTACGGCTCGACCGGCTACCGCTACCCGTTCTCGAAGGAGGAGACGTCGCGCCTCGTCCTTCGCACGCACACCACTTCCGTCTCTTCCGCCCAGCTCTATCAGCTCGCCAACCAGCCTGGAGGCTTCAAGCCCGCCAAGATGTTCTCGATCGACCGCGTTTTCCGTAACGAGGCTGTCGACATGACCCACTTGGCCGAGTTCCACCAGGTCGAGGGCGTTGTCGCCGACTACAACCTCACCTTGGCGGACCTCATCGGTGCGCCCGAGACTCTTTCACACTGAGCACAAGCGGTATTGACGTCTCCGTCGCGCAGGCTTCATGGAGGTCTTCTTCTCGAAGATGGGCGTCAAGAACCTTCGCTTCAAGCCGGCGTACAATCCCTACACGGAGCCGTCCCTCGAGATCTTCTCTTGGCACGAGGGACTCGGCAAGTGGGTCGAGATCGGAAACTCGGGCATGTTCCGGCCGGAGATGCTCGAAACGATGGGCTTGCCGGCGGACGTGCGGGTGCTCGGATTTGGCCTGAGTTTGGAGCGACCTACCATGATTCGGTGCGTCATCTGCTCTCTCTCTTTTGCTGCCGGTCTGCTGACTCCCGTCCACTCGCGCAGCTACGGTATCTCCAACATCCGCGACTTGCTCGGCCACAAGGTTCGTTCCTGCCTCGCTTCATTCTCACAAGTTCCCGCTGACCCTCTTCGTACAGGTGCCTCTGGAGATGATCGAGAAGTCGGCGGCCGTGCGTTTCTAGACGAGGGGACCGCTTGTCCGGTAGATCTCTTCGATCCGCTCCACTTGCAAGCAGTACCCTCCCGACTTGAGTTCCCGTGTCCCTTGCGTGAATGTTCAGGCCCTGCTGCAGGTTGTCTGCCCCATCAAGCATGTCAAAAGCCACTCTGGCGACTTCTCCGACTTCATCAACTTTCCTCGAGAGGTGCATCGCCTCCTCGACCTTCACCACGCTTGCCCTCTCGCTGCTTCACTCCGGTCATGCTTTCGCGCTCATTATCGCACCTAACAGCGGCCCCTCTGCGCCTTGCGTCTACCGGCGGGCCTTCTCGCGCGGCTGCAGGACTTTTGGCAGGTTCGCATCGGAGAGGGATGAAGCAGGCAGCAGCAGCGGCAGGCGCAGCTGGGCGGAACCCACATATGCCAGTATCGGTGCGAAGATACTCCACCGCTCCCTCGCCACCGTCCCCGCCGCCAGAACGCCCCTCAAACCGCCTCCTCCCTCTCACCGCCGGATTCGTCCTCCTCGCTGGTGGCGCATACCTCTACCTGGCTCGCGAAGAGCCTCCCCTGCTCGGCTACGACCGCTGGACGCCGGTCAAGATCAAGTCTATCACGCCTTTGACGCCGGAGACGTCGTTGTTCCGCCTTGAAGTGCCGAAAGCGCTTCTTCCGCCTGGACTGGGCAGCGATCCTTCTGCACGACCGATCCTCAGCCTTTTCGTGAAGGAGCCGAATCTGCAGATCCAGCGGGCGTACACTGTGAGTCGGACGCCGTCCATTTGGAGTGGAAGAGCTTGCTGATCGTCCTTTCGCTTCCGCAGCCTCTCACATCCTCCTCCTTCAACCCTTCTGGTCCCGCCGAGCTGGACCTCGTTATCAAGCGATACGCAGACGGCGAGCTGTCACCCTACATTCACCGACTAGGACCTGGCGATGAGTTGACCGTGCGAGGGCCGGCCATTACTTGGTATTACCGCCCGCAGGACTGGGATGAAGTCACTTTCGTGCGTCGAGGCTGAGGGTTGATTCTGCGGACTATCGTTGACTCGCGTGTTCGGCAGGTCGTCGGCGGAACGGGCGTAGCTCCAGCATACCAATTCGTAAAGGACATGCTCTCCGCCTCCTCTATCGACACCCCGAAAGTCTCCATCGTCTACGCCTCTCCATCACCATCCCGCATCCTCCTCAAAGACTCCCTAGACGCCTTCCGCGAGCAAGATCCCTCTCGACTCTCGCTTCACTACCTCGCCGACCGATTAGACCCGAACACGTCTAGCAAGACGGCGCCACAGGATGTGACGATTGCTTTCCCGGATGGGATGACGCTGAAGAAGCTGTTGGGAAAGAAGGAGGATGGGAAGCGGAGAGTAGTGATTGTGTGCGGTCCTGAAGGGTGAGCAGACGCGCTTTCCCGGACTCTCTTCCCTCGTAGCTGACGTGGTTCTTTGCGCAGAATGGTCGAAGCGGTGGCAGGACCGCGCGGGCGGAACTTTTCGCAGGGACGGGTAGGAGGCGTCCTGAAGGAGCTGGGCTTCACCGAGAGGGAGGTCGTCAAGCTGTAGAAGGCGATGTCGTAGATCGATAAACTATTACAGCAGTCCCAGCGCTGCTACAGAGTCTCACCCCGCGAGCTCTGCCTTCTCTTCCGCCTTCTCTGCTTCGTCGTCCATTCCCTCCACTCCAGCCGCGACTTCGACAGGCACTTCCCTCTCCGCTCCTGTAACGTCTCCACCACATCTCAAGCACGTCCAACTATCATCCGCCTCCTCATCCGCCTTCGCCAGCGCTCCAACAACGCAGTAGTAGCAATACCTGCACCGTCCCTCGCAGTTCGCGACATAGGGAATCTTGACCGACGTATCGCCGCCGTCTGCTGGTCCTGACGTGTGCAGGAGAGACGCAGAGGGAAGGGTCGGGTCGGCGAACGAGGCGGAGGGAAGGTGTGTCGGCGGAGCGGTTGAGAGGGAGTAGCAGATTGGGCAGGTGTGGGCGGGGAGGAAGGCGAGTGGACCTGCGGGTTTGGCGGTGCCTTTCGAGTCGGTTTTGGAGGCGGAGGAGGAGCGCAGGGAGGAGAGGCCGAGCGTGCTGGCGAGAGGGGCGGGGAGAGCGGTTGCGAGGGAGCGGAGGGTGGTCGACTTGGTTGCGCGAGACGAAATAGCTTTGACGACCCGCAGTCGGAGGCGGTGGAGGTTGACGAGCGGCAGGAGGAAGAGGAGAAATTCCTGCGGAGAGCAGGGAAGTCAGAGAGGCAGACAGCCTGGAAAAGCAGGCGGGCGCACGGTGAAGGCTTCCCAGACAAGCTGGCGGTTCAAGAACTCGAAGCTGACGTTGGGAGTGAAGGCTCGCTGGGCGTAGACGAGCCGCATCTTCAGCACGCGGTCAATCAAGGTCCGATACCTGTCGAGGAATTGTCAGCGGAGTCGCAAGAACAGATGGATGCTGGCTCACCGTCCATTGTACAGAAACACCAGGAAGTTGACCAATCCCAGGACTGCCGAAAGCCGCTCCCCGACGTTCAGCAGCTCCCAACCTGTCCGCTTCCACTCCCTCTTCCACTGGATCATCTCCTCCTCTCTTCGCCGGCCCCTCGCCATCAGCCGCCGCAGGTCGACGAGAGAGAACCAGCTCCGTGGGAGAGGTTCATCCGCCCACGAAGACGTGAGCATGCGGTCTTGCAGGCGGGAATGGAGGTAGGGAGGGAGGACGACGAGGAGCGTGTAGGCGAGTTTCTGGATCCGCGTCAAGTTCGAGTCGGTTGCGGTCGATTGTACTATGTCGCATGGGTCAGCGCGCGTCCACAGAGAGTGAGAAAGCGGCACTCACGGCCTTTGGCGTGCCGCCCCTCGTTGCGATATCTGAGGTTTTGGAGGGCGGAGCCGTAGGTCGCGCCGCTCTCCCACAGCGACAGCTTGAGCACCGCCAGTCTCAGCAGCGCCATGAATTCTGGCTCCCACGTCCGTCCTCCCGCTGGCTGTTACGCGAGCAGAACCCCACATCGAGGTAGCCGAATCAGCCGGTTGTTCGAGAGGGAGAGAGAGTGAACGGGGACGCACCCTGACGCCATCGAGAGCTGTCTTGACTGGTCCATGGAGTATACCTTCGAGCTCGTTGTCCAGGAGCGAGGCGTCGAGCTGGGAGACTCGCGAGACGCGGAGTGCGGGCGATGGGAAGCGAGCGAGCGAGGCGCGCAACTGCGGGAGCTTTGCAAGGGATGCGGGCGGTGGCTGCCAGAAGCGGTCGAGGTCTGCAGCGCCAGCGTCAGCCGTGCTCGAGCCAGCTTGCGTAGCCATCGTGAGCGAGCAGAAGTCAAGCCGGCATCTCGCTCCTCCGGCAAAGGTCAATTCTCGTAATCAGGCTGGCATTGCGGCAGCTAGCGAGCGAACTGTTCCGTAAGAGGGGATAGGGTCCACGTCGAGAGGGGATAGACTCGGGAATGCGAAAGGGATGCGTGAGGGAGAGGGCGTTGCAAGTGGAAGTCAAGAAAGCAGAGCGCGGCTTAGGCGGTCGCGGGAGGGGCGTCGGCCTTGCCCGACTCCTTCGTCGCGGCGTGGGCGTCCTCCTCAGACGGGCGCTGCGGGGCACACGGTGTCAGGGCTGCGTTCGGAAGCGAGGACGGCAGCACTCACCTCAGCAGTCGGCTCCTTGACCTCCTCGCCCTGCACAACCTCGACCTTCTCGGGAGGAGGGACGACACCCTCATCCTTGTACGCGGGAGGAGCGTCCTCGGTCGCGTTCTCCGCCGGAGCCGCCTCCTTGCCCTTCTCGACGGGGACGCCGGTCTGCGTCGTGCTCGTGGCGTCGGCAGCGACGGGTGCGTCCGACGCGACGGGCTCGGGTGCCGCGTTCTCGCCGCTCAGGAGCTTCTTGTTCGTCTCCTGCGCCGAGAGGAAAGCGGTGCGGAAGAGGTTGGCGTCTGTACAAACGAGATCAGCGATCGCCTGACGAGTCGGGGAGCTCGACAACGCACTCTCCGAGTTGGCAAAGCGGATAGCAAGAGTCTCAGCCTTGGCCTCGCCGTCCGAAACGTCCGCCGCGACGTTGTAAACCCACGACCGGTCCGAGCCGATGTTGGGCGAGAGGGCCATTTCGGGGGTGACTGCGCGGCGCGACAAACACGTCAGCGCTGGCTTAACTCGGTAGAGAGTTTCCTGAACACACTGTAGTGGTTGGCGCAGACCTTCAAGGTCTTGTCGCGGCGCATGACGAGGCGGACCTTCTTCGACTGCTTGTGCTGGAGAAGGCGGACGTCGCCGGTGCCGCGCTCCTTCCACTCGGACGAGTCGGACGAGAAGCGGAAGAGCTTGGCGCGCCTGCGAGCGAGCGATGGGTGATCAACTTCTCCTCGTCGAACAAGGGTGAAGCAGAGGCGCGGGTCGAGGGCCGCGAGAAGCGCAGACGGGGCTAGTAGCAGTCCAGCCAGCTTCATGGACCCTGCACGGAGCTCCCTACCATCCACAGCGCCCCGCCTGCCCTGCTCGCCGCCTCTGACGCCGGGAGCATCGCGTGAACTCACATCTTGAAGAGGGCCTCCTCATCCTCCTCGTGCGTCTTGACCTCGACAGTCTGGTCGAGCTTGACGACAGGCTCAAAGACGGCGGTCGACTCCTCCTCTCCCTGCGGCTTGGTGGCTTCTTCGGCAGACATCTGTGGACGAGGACAAGGCGGAGTTGGGACACGAGTGTCAGCTCGGCGCGCGCTCTGGACGGCTCGGGCGCAGCTGTAGTCCGCTCAAGAGCTTCTCAGTGGGCCCACGCACTTTGTTCGGTCGCTGTGTGAGGTGGTGAACGTGTGGGAGCGGGTCAAGGTGCGGGACGGTGGATCCCCTTGGTCTCGTCCAGCTCACTCGACTCGCTCTGATGGTGGACTGTGCGCGCCAGCCTGCTACTGAGACTCGCTTGAGCCGTATGTCGACCCGCCAGGACCGCGCAGTGTCTCTCGCTTCTCGTGTTCTCCTCGTTCGCTCATTGCCTCAACATGTGGAGTTCTGAGCCAATCAAGCTGGATACGGGTCAGACTGATTTGTGCGACGTCGAGGCTATCCTTCGGATGCTGTTCAGCTTGCTAGCGGAGCGCGGCATGCATTGACGACCCTCGCGGTCCCGGTCAGCGAGACCCTGGTCGCGGGTCACGGGCGAACTACGGCGCTTCTCTGCTCTCTCCCGCACGCTTGAACTCCAGCGCTCTTTCCAGCCAGCATGACGCCAACACAGCCCGTCCTCGCCGCTCGTGACGACGACAGAAGCGTGTCGCCGCTGTCGCTCCTCGACTCGAAACTCTGGCCATGCCTCTCTTTACTCTCGCTCGACTCGTCAGACGATGAACAATCGATCACCAGTACCGTCAGCGACGACTCGGATTCGACGGCCCCGTCCTCCGACACCTGTTGCGCTCCCTGCTGCACAGCCGCCGAATCGAAACCTCCCATCACATCCATCGAGCCAGAACACTTCTCGCCGCTCATCGTGATCGGTGCCGGACCTCACGCCCTGGCTCTCGCCGCACGGCTCAACGAACCGCGCCCCGCAGCCCTGTATACCGACCTCGAACACGCTCGCCTGAGCTGGCTGCAACGCGAGGCGACGACGTCGGCGAGACGCCGACAGACCGTCAAGGGACATTGGCAGGCTCGCAAGCTCGTCGAGCCGGCGTCGAGAACTCTCGCACCAGCCGCTCAGGCGATCCAAGTCCTGGATTCGTCTGGCGACACCTGGATGCGCCGCTGGGACTTGTACTTCGACGGGCTCAAGATCAAGCACCTCCGCAGCCCAATGTTGTTCCACCCAAGCCCGGCGGACGTCGATGCGCTTGTTGCGTATGCGAGCAGGACGAGCAGGGAGGACGAGTTGAAGCCGATCAAGGGAGTCGTCGGGCGCGAGTTCAGCAAGTATCAGCGGAAGAAGAGGTGCGCTCAGTCCGACTGGCGTGAACGAGGACGCTAACCCAGACTTCGCAGGCCTACTCGGATTGGCCGCGCAGCTCTCGCCAACGAGCGGGAGAGACAGGATTACTGGCGACCTTCGACTCCGCTCTTCCACTCCTTCATCCAAGACGACCTCGTCAACCGCTACGACGTCGCCTCGCTCGTCATCCACACGACCGTCACCTCGCTCTCGTACGGCCCGATACACGTGCCCGGCGAAGAACCTCAGGAAGGTTTCGTCGTTCGCTCGGTCCGACCAGATGGGATAGTTGAAGTACGAGGCGCCAGCGCTGTCGTCATGGCAATCGGGCCGTCTAGCAAACCTTTCATCCCGCCCGTCCTTCGTATTGCCCTTCCGCCTCCGCACCCTCCCGTCCGTCCTACCGATGCTGCCATACCTTGGCGAAAAGACGACGTCTGCGGCCGTGCCTGGTGTCACTCCTCGGCTTTCGCGTTGCCTGGGTGTCGCCCGCTTGACGGCGAGTTGGGCGAGAGGGTCAGGACGGGCGAGAGGACGCATGTTGTCGTTGTGGGAGGCGGGTGAGTCGCTCTGTTCCTCCTTTCGTATCGCGAGGGCGCAGTCAAAGGGACTGAGAAGGATTGTCCCCTCGCAGCCTCACTTCCGCCCAAATCGTCGACTCGCTCCTCTCGCAAGGCGTCTCCTTCGTCACGCTCGTATGCCGCTCACGCATCAAGACCAAGCACTTTGACTTTGACCTCTCGTGGGTCAGCAAATACGCCAACGTCGAGAAGATGGCTTTTTGGCAGGAGGAGGATCCGGCGTTGCGGTTCGAAATGATCCGGCAGGCGAGGGACGGGGGCAGCGTTAACCCGCAGTTTGCTCGGGCGCTGCAGAAGTGGGAGAAGGAGGATCGGCTGGAGGTTAAGACCTTGACGGAGGTGACGAAGGCGGCGTTCGACGCGGAGCAGGGCAAGTGGACGCTCAAGCTGGCGACGAAGACCGCCGACCCTGTCCTCAACTCGCCGTCCGCCTCAGCAACGACGCTCAGCGACATCGACTACCTCGTCTGTTCGACCGGCAGCAAGCTCGCCATCGACAAGGTCGACTTCCTCCAGCCCATCCTCGCCTCGCACCCCGTCGAAACCGTCAATGGCCTCCCTGTCTTGACGAAGGACTTGCAGTGGCGTGCGGACGTGCCGCTCTTCGTCATGGGCGCATACTCGATGCTTGAGGTGCGTTCAGCGTTCCTTCCAGCGAGTAGCCGAGGCTCAAGTCCTTCTAGCAAGGAAGTGACCACTCTGTCCCCGCCACAGCTCGGCCCAGATGCTCTTAACCTCTCTGGCACCCGCGCAGGGGCCGAACGTATTGCCCACCGCCTCGCAGAACTCGACATGTTCGACTCTAGCGACGGGATCTCTTCCGACTCGAAGGCCGGTAGTCAGCGAGTCGACAGCGGAGGCACGAGCTTCAGCTGGACGAAGTTTGCGGCGCAGAAGCGAGCGCGGTCAGCGGGTGAGGGGAACTTCTTCGAGGGACTGTCGGAAGCTGAGGCGTGAAAACGAGGCGTTCGGCTGAGGTAGAAAGGATAATGCTTGCAATTGCGAAGGTGTCACGGTCAGGAACTAGTGTCTGTCGAGCTGCAGTTGAGTCGCGTCAGCGCTAAAGCGTCGCAAGAAGCAGCGGACCGCTCACTTTTGCCGGTCTCCTGTTCATTTCCGGTACTTTGCCATCTCACAGCCCTTGTTCTCGTATCTGCGGAGAGCATGTCAGCATGTACCCGTGAACCGGACAAGCGAAACGACTTACCCGCACTTGACGTAGAACGCTGAGGCGAGGAGGTGGACGAAGTTAGCAGACGATCCAGCGGCGCAACTGAGCCGAGCGCACCCTCATTCTTCGGGTCACAGTCCAGGATCGCCTGCAGTGTTGTGAGATCAGTACACGGCTAAGAAAAGGAAACGCAGTACTGACCTTGTAGGCGCCGACTCTCTCGCTCAAAGCCGTCACAACCTCCAGCAACTTCAGCCCAAGCTTCTTTCCCTGCATCTTCGGGTCAACCACGACGTCCTCGACGTGTCCCACGAGTCCAGCTCCACGAAGGAACTTGCGCTCGACCACGACCGTTGCCTGCCCCACAAGCCTGTCCGACTCGTCCTCGACAATCACGACCGGCAGGTACGTGAGCTGGACGGCGTTGACCGCTCGCATCTCGTCGAATCGTGTCGACCATGTCTGCTGGCCTACGTCGGGCGAGGAGGTGAGGTGTGCGAGGAGGTCGAGGTGTCCGCGCGAGTAGTCTGATGAAGCGAGCGGGCGGAGCGAGAGGCCGGCGGGGAGGGACTGGCGCAGCTCGGACGGCACCAGAGCAGCGTCGAAGAGGTACTCAGCAGTCTCGGCGGGCATCTTGAGGTGTGCAGCGTGCGCAGTCGTCGCTCAACCTGTGGACGGGGTCCTCGGAGGAGACTTGAGCACTTTCCACACCGCTCACCCGCTCAATCCGGCTATAATGGCCGGCGAATCTCAGTCATTCAACCTAATGACGGCCTTGACGTACTCGCCTAGCCGCCCAGACGAGCCCTTCTCGCTGCTGAACCGCCATCTCGCACGGCTCCGGGATGCCCATGCTGCCTTCGCCCGGGAGCTTCCCGACTGCTGGTGCGCGTCCACGTCCATGCCAGACGATGCAGCGATGAGGAAGGAGCTGGAGAGGGCGGTCGAGGAAGCGAAGGCGAGCGGGAAGGAGGGAGACTTGCGGGTTCGTGCTCGCTTTCGCTCCTCTCGCTCGAGACGAGATCTGACGATGAGGCTTCGTCATTCGCCAGATACGTCTGTCCATCCTACCGACTGGACAGCCCCACGCAGAATGCTTTCCTTTGACGCCCATGCCCTCATGTCCGTCGCATCCTTTCGCCGAACTGCTGCGCGAAAGCTGACTTGTTCTTTGCAAGCAGACCCCGTCCGTCTTGTGCTTGATGACCGACCAACGGAGTACGGAGAGCCCTTCCTGCGGTACAAGACGAGCCAGAGGGAAGTTTACGACGAAGCACGACGGCGACAAGGTGCGCTCGTCGCTCCCTGCGACTTTCGGTAGACCGCTAGCTCACATCCCCTATCCTATGTGCAGGCGCTACCCTACACCCTTCGCCAGACCCTTCGGACCCGCCATTCGACGTCCTCCTTTTCAACTCCTCCCGCCAACTCACCGAGACGACCATCTCGAACGTCGCCTTCCGATTATCCGACCATGCGAAGGACGCATATATCACGCCATCAACAGAGTGCGGACTGCTCGAGGGCGTTATGCGGGCGGAGTTGCTGGAGAAGGGCGAGATCAAGGAGGGTGTTGTGACGATTGACGATTTGCGGGAGGCGGCGCAGGTGCGCGAGCATTACTCTCTGCTTGCATGGACAGGTGCTGACTTGCTCGATTGTGCTGCAGCGAGAGACGCTCGAGATCATCTGCTTCAACGGCGTCCGAGGCGTCTTTCCCGCCTACATCGCTCCCGAAGACTTGCAATGACCAGCTCGTCCCGCTTCTCTCGCCTCGCAAGTCTCGCACTCTCAGGTATCGGCTGCTATAAAGGCCAGAACGACAGAGAGACGCAGTGCGAAATCGTTACAGGAGAGGGAAGAGCTTGAAGTTCGGGTTGAATGGGCGATCGTCCGATGCGAGTCTTGGAGCGGGTTTGACGGCGAAGCAAGAGCGAGGCTTGTAGTTGGGAGTGCGGACCGCTCAGCAGCAGAACTCGTCGATCTGCGGGCAGACGAGGCGTCAGTTGAGTGCGAGAGAGCACATCGAGCGTGACCGGACCTCGCAGCAGCAGATCTCTGTCAAAGGCGGCGCGAGAGTCGTCAGTTGCGTCTCCAGATAGGCCACTCTTCACCCCTCACGCACCTTCGAGAGCACAGCAGCCTGTCGGACATCGAGAAGAGTCAGCTCCCACTTCTCCCCTCGGCAAAAGACTGAGAACGCACACAAGCAAGCGGCGCAGCAGTCCTTGACGCATCCTCCACCGCGCAACTGCATCGCAGGCTGGCGCTCCGGTTGACGCGAGACATAGGACGAAGAGTCGAGCGGGACGGCTGCGAGCGTGCAACCGGAACGTCAGCGTTCGCCTCGGACCGTTGTAGCCGGTCCTCCAGCGTCTGCACGGTGCTTTGCGACTGGCGCTCGAAGGCACAACGGACGCACTGGTCATAGCGGGCTGTTGCTGCGGAGGTGAAGTGACGTTGCCCTCCTGCGCCGCTTCGTGGGACTGCTGGACGTTGCTGGGCGGGTAAGTGGCGCTCGAGACCATGATTGCGAGTGTTGGAGGGACAGAAGGAGCGAGAGGGAGGAAGAGGAGCGAGGGCCAGCACGGGAGGGACGAGGCGGTGCGCAGCCAAAATTGGCGAAGGTGGGACGGGAGGAGGCGTGAGCGAGCGAGCGGACTTTGCGGACGAAGCAGAAGTGCGCTGGAAGTGGCTGGACGAAGCGGCAGTCGTCGCACGAGTGGACGAGGCGCCTCGAGAATCACCGCCGTCGGGAAACCCGTGTGAGAAGCCGAGCGGGCAACGAATGGCACGAGTCAAGGGGCGCCGACAGCTGTACAGGTCGAAGAGCGGCGCTAGGTGAGAACGAGGAGAGAAAAAGCGAGTTGTAACCGGAGAGGTCGTCGGAGACGCAGGAGTTGCTGGCACGGCTGGACGTTCTTCGTCCTTGTCTGCTCGCTCGCCTGTTCATCCCCATGCGCGCCGTGTTGCAGACTCCAGCGCGTCAACCCGATACCGACGAATACGATGTTGTCCCTCTTCTCCGGTTGACCAGGTGCGTCAGGTAGTCGACCGTTTCCTGCGCAGAGCGAAGCGCGAGTCAGCGGGGCTGTTCAGCGTCGCCCTGTTCGTCACCAAACTCGTCGCATCCATGTGTCATGAGTGGGCGGAGATGCTTCGCGGCGGTCGGAGGATGGGCAAACTCACCGCAGCCACTCCCTTCAAGCCTGACCTCGCAAAGACCGCCTGCAGATCCAGCCCGTACTGCTTGAGAATCGCAAGAACGAGCAGTGTCGACGTGATGATGAGGAAGGAGATCACGATGAAGTGCGACTTAGGCGAGTCGCGTTCTGCGGCGGCAATTGCGAAGTTTAGCTGACCTGCCGGGGGCCACTATCGAAGGTCTCGTACGCACGGAAGCACCTCGCCTCAACATCTCCACCCTCTCCCGTTGCCGTATCCGGATCCTCCTCCGGGTTCTGCGCTCCCACACACGCGGCCAATTTCTGGTCCAGACAAAACTGCCTCGTGCAGCTCAGGCAAGGGTTGGAGGGGATCGCGGGTCGGTAGAGTGGGATTATGGTCGAGTTGCCGAAGCATACGCATTTGCAGTAGCTCATGCCGGTTGAGGACGACGAGAGGGAGGGGATGGCGAGGACGGGCGTGAGGGTGAGGAGGAGCGTGAGGGCGAGGAAGGCGAGGTAGACGGGTCGCGGAGGTCTTGGCAGCAGCATACTGGAATTGATGTTGTATGCGGATTGGCCACGGCGCCAAAAGTCTCCGATTTGGTCGCTGGCCTTCGAAGGCGATGAGGTTGAGGGAGGAGGTTGGGGGAAGCAAGAACGAGGTGCGGCGTTTCGAGGCGGGGCAGAGCGATTGAGACAGCTTGTTAAAGCAGAGTGTTCCGCCCGGAGAGCTTCACGAGCGGTGTGCGAGGTGTTGTGTTCCTCCAAGAGGCGTCCCGCTCCACCTCGCGCTCCTTGCCCTCGCCCGCTCACGATCCTCCAGCTTGCGGCCCACTTGACCGCTCGCAATGGCTTACGCAACTCCCAGAAGACCTTCTGCTATCCCTGAACTCGCCTCGCCATCTCCCTCTTTCTCCCGACGCGTCTCGACCGCTTCATCGCTCGGAGGAGGAGGACAGAGCGGGAGCCCTTCGCTCGGGTCTGGGTCGGAGAGGAAGCGAAGGACGAGGCTGCGAGATTACTACGGGCTCAGCACGCCGCGGCCAGGGGATGGAATGGACCTTGGTGCGTTCCTCCTCCCCACTTTGACAGCGTCGCCCACTGACACTGCTTCTTTCGAACAGACTCTCCCGCTTCTTTCGACGCGAACAACTACTTCCAAACACTGGCGTCGACCGCATCACTTCCGGAGCTGCTCAAGCGGGAGACGGACCTGATCAATGGCGAATTGCTCGCCCATTTCTTGCTTTCGATCTGCGTGTTTCGCTGACACAAACTCGTATCGTCGCAGAGATACGCGAACTTGACGGCGAGCGGCAGTCCCTGGTGTACAATCACCATGGCGAGCTGATCTCGGCTAGCGACACTATTCGCAAGGCAAGTCGCCCTCCTTACGTCTCGCCGAGCTTCCATGCTGACAGCTCTTTGCCCGCAGATGAAGAGCCGCGCCGAGGCCCTCGATACCTCTCTCGACTCGCTCAAGTCGTCCTTCCAGACGATCGCCCAGCTTTCCGCCTCGCTTGCCCCGACTACCGCATCATCCGCCTCCGCCAAGCCGCCCTCATCTGCCCCTACGTACCCTCGATCACCAACAGAACCCCCTCATACGCCTCGCTCCAGCCGAAGACTCGCAGCTCTCCCCGAATCGCCCGACTCGCCAACCACGCCAACTCAGTCGCGCGCACGCTCCGCCTCACAGCCTCCGCCGCCCGAAGCAATCCGACCATTCTCGGGCGAAAAGGCCAAGGCGACAGTCTTTGGGGGAGCGCCGGGCTGAGACCGCTGGGGCCTCGGGGGGTGTCCTTTTCCACCCCGAAAGCGTGCCCTTCCGGGCTACCACTTTGCCCGGCCAGTCTGCAGTAGACTGGCCAGGCTCGCTGCGATATTCGCCGCCGCTGCCGCATCGCGCCCGTACACGCAATCGCACGTCTCGCAATGCAAGAGGTTGCGAGTTGTCGAACCGCTGCCGAGAGTCGCGTGCTTGACCCTGTGAATATCAACCTCAGCTCCGCTTTCCTGCGCCTGCAACCGTTTTTCGAAACGCACCTTGACCGCCGCCCCTCGTCATCCACGCAGTCCGGGTTCGAGCAACGCCGGCTCGTATGCGCCTCGTTGACGACGACGAAGCGGTGCTCGACTCGACGACGGCTGAGCACGTCGTCGACCTCGCGCAAGAGCGGCAGCGTCGTCCCGGCGCCTTCGCTGCGCCGCTTCGTCTTGAAGCCGTGCCCTATGGCGAGGACGACCTTGGTCTCTGGGTCAACGCCGACCCCCTTCTGCAGCTCGCCGCCGAGGATAAAGTCGGCCAGCTCGTTCGCGACTCGGCGGTATATCGCCTTGGCGCGGACCTTGGTCAGGCGGCGGATCCCGTAGCCGACTTGGTTGGTTTTGCGAAGAGCGTAGACGGCGGCACGTTCGGAGACGCTCGACGCCGAGAACGTGGGCGAGAACTCGTTGTTGAAGGCGACGTTGAACGCCGACATCCGCCGCTGGCCAGTCTTGGTAATGGCGCGGAAGTTGTTGGCGGCGACGCTCGCGAAGCCCTCGGACCGGCCGCCGATCGCGTGCTCGTTCGCAACCGAGTTGAAGACGGTGACGGGCGAGTTCTCGCCGGGGTCGCATGCGCACAAAACGAGCTTGTCGTCGGGAGTCCCGCCGATCCAGCGGCGGAGGGCGTTCGCTTGTCCCGGCGTGTAGCACCTCCACCAGTTGTCGGGAACGCCGCCTTCAGTCGGCCTCTCTCGCGCCGACCAGAAGCGCTTGCGGAACGGCTTCTCGATGGCCTCGAGCGGGCGGCGGTCGCGAGGGAGGTCGAGGTCGTTGCGGCGGTGTTCGAGGATCTTGCCGAGGAGGTTGTTGTGGCTGATGTTCCCGCCGAAGAAGCGGAACCTCGTGCCGATCCGGCGCTCGCGGATAGCGCCGCCCTCGACGACGTACTCGACGAGCCGGTCCTTGTCCATTCCGCGGTCGTACTTGACGGGGTCAAGGTGACTCCAGCCGCCCTTGTTCCTCAGATTCGGCGCGTGATGGACGAGGTACGACATCGCGATCCCGGCGTCTGCGAGTGAGGGAGCGTCAGCGTCTTGTTCGAGCGCGAAGAGGAGCCTCGACGAGCCCACCGGTTAGGAAGACGGTCGGGCCTTTCTCCATCGTCTTGACAAGCCAGGGCTTCGGCCCATCGACGTGGTGGCCGACGAACGAGATCTCCGAGAAGGAGAACAGGAAGTGACCGCTCGCGAAGAACGTGCGCGGGAAGCGGTCGGTCTTGAAGAGCTGGTACATCGCTTCGACTTGCGCGCCTCGCTTTACGATGAACTCGTTGAGCGAGCCAGTCGCGCAGCCGAATCGGTCGCGCAGCTCCTGTATGACCCGCCCGATCCCGTCGACGATGGAACCCTTCACCCGCAGCTCGACATCGTCGCCGTTCTGCACGTGAACCCACAGCGGCAGACCACTCCCGTCGGCGTTCTCGAATAGCTGGATGAGCGGCTCAAACGTCAGGAGGTGGGCGGTGGATCGGTCGGCCTTGTTCTTGATGTTCTGGCGGAGCGAGTCGTACGCGACCTGGACCTGCTCGGCGGCGCGCTCGACAAAGGCCTGGAAATACTCGCTGCCCATGACGCGGAGGAGGCAGATGATGTTGAGCGGGCGAAAGTCGGGTTCGACGGTCTGCCAGAGCGAAGTTTTAGTTAGTCTACGGCTTGTGGAACACGTAACTGGGAGCAGGCGCACCGGAAGCGGCTTGTCGACGCCTCGCAACTTTTCGCAGCGATAGAAGAAAGGGAGAAGGCCGTGCGCCACGTCCTTCTCCTCCTCGACGATCTCGGCGAACGATCTGCCGGCGAGGGACGATGCCGCGGCTGCGCTCCCGGCCGCAATCCGGACTGACCGGTCCCGCCATGCGAGCCAGCCATCGATCCATCGTTCGAGATCGGCGAGAACGCGCCCCGAACTGCCGCGCCCTGGCTCCCTCGAGTCGCTCGCGTCCGAGACGGACTCGCTCGAGTCGCTCAAGTCCGAGAGCGACTCGCTGCGGATGAACTTGACGAGGGCTTCGTACTCCCCTTTCTCGAACAGCTGCGTCCATGCTGACGAGTCGACCGGGTGAGCTGCAGCAGGGGCGGGAGCTGGAGCGGGCTGAGCAGCCGGAGCTTGAGCGGCATCAGCCGCCGACTTGGTGCGCCCGCTCCGCCTCCTCTTTGCAGGCTGGCTTGCATCGGCCTTTCCAGCGGGCGATGCGCCTCGCCTGGCACGCTGCGGGTCGAACGGCGTCTCGACGAGGATCGTAGGAAGGACGGAGGCGAGGAGCTGCTTGAACCGTGCGAGTTCGTCGGCGCCGGTGAGGTCGATGCGCAGGTACGTCTCGAGGTCCGGCAGCGGACCGATGTCGACCCATTCCGCACGCAGCGAGCGACCGTTCGCGACCAGGGTGTCGATATCCTTCGCCAGGGCCGACCCGAGCGCGCCTAGGGAGAGGACCGCCTTGTCGACGACCGCTTTGAGAATCGCGGTTGCCTGAGGGTTGACGACGACGCTCCATGCTTCTTGGCCAATCTCGGCGGGGCGCACGACGTTGGGTGGGCGTTTCGCTTCGACTGCGCGTACTGCGGCCTGTGAGCGCGAGAGTGCCGTCAGCACGAGGGCCGGTGAATGGGAGTGATGGTCGCTGCCACTCACGACGTGGTGCTCGTCCAGGGTTATCGCCTGCCCGCCACTTCCGACCTTCTTCAGCGTCCCACCCTCGCCTTGTCCTCCGCCCTTGATGAATTCGCCACCCAATCCGCACATGAGCCGAGCAAGGTCGCGATGAAAGTCGCGGCCTCGCGCCTTGTTGGCTAGGTACGAGAAGTCATCGTCCGTCCCGCATGCCCCGACCCACTCGTCGGCAACGTCGTTCTGTTCGAGCGTCGAGAGGGCGAAGGAGAGGCTGAGGAGCGAGAGGATGTCGGCGACGGGTTTATCGGATCGCGCGACCTGGATGTTGGCCGGGCCGTTCGCGCGAGGCCTGTTCCCGCCGGTGAAGACTCCGCCGACGCGAGGAGCGCTGTTGGGGATGCCGCTGGAGGCGAGTCGCGTGCGCTGTTTCGCCGAGCCGGGCGCGCTGGGTTGCTTGGGTGTGGGAGAGGTCTGCGGAACGTCGCGCGGCGGGCGAAGCTCGATCTGGTCCCTGTGGAGCGTGCGTTCGATGGAGCGCGTCCTGAGGGGGTCGGTGCAGACGGTGTCGAATTGCGAGTCGAGCCGGACCCGCGACTCGGACTTGTCGTCCTTGTCATTCGACGGCGGCTCCTGCTCCTGCTCTGGCGCTGCATCGCCCTCCTGCCCGCCTTTGACCACGGCGCTGTTGTCCTCCTTCTTCCCTTTCCCTCGCTTCCCGCCGTGCTTGCCCTTCCGTTTGCTCTTCCGCTCGTCCCCACCTTTCGGCTTGGGTTTCGCCGCGTCGCCTGTGCCCTCGTCGCCTCCCTCGTCCTCGTCGCCTCCCTCGTCCTCGTCGCGCTCAGTGCCAGCACGGCGAAGCATGGCGGCGTGAAGACTCGCACCCGAGCTGATCGCGGTGATGCGGATGGTGCTCGAGCGCGACGACCCGATCCTGCGGGCGAGTTCTCGGCGCCTATTCGCCTCGGTGCTTGTGTCGTCGGCGCGAGGCATCGGCGAGTTGCGCAGCGGAACGAGCGGGTTCGGCAGCTTGAGGAACGGCGAAGGGGAGGGTGGGAACCGACGCTGTTCGGCGTGAGGCTGGCCAGGAACCGGGCGGCGGTACATGAAGGTCTTCTCGGCGCCCTTGGCGTCGTACGGACGTGGCGGAGGGCGAGTACCGTTGTTGAAGCGCACGCGCATGTCGTCGTTGTGGTGTTCGACCCAGGGTATCTCCCTCGTGTCGAATATCTCGACGTCCCGACCCAGGGCTGCGTCGACTGCGTCGATGAGACCTCGCACCGTCGACTCGCCGACCTGGACGATGGACTTGCTCTGGTGGAGGCCCAGGGTCGTGCGACGGCGTTTGGCCTCGTCACTCGAGCCGTTGAGCATGCCGAGGTCGGTGTTGAGGGCGTCACGGACCATGAGCGCGTTCTCGAGCGTCCACTCGACCTTGTGACCCTCGTCGATGAGCCCTGCGAGGATCGTGTTGACGCCGACGCCAAAGACGCCGCCGTTCGAGTAGTCGTTGCCGATCAGCGCGGCGAGCACCGCGCGGTCGACTCGCGTCAAGTCGAGAGGGAGAAGCCGGTCGACGCCGTCCATGTCGAAGAGGGAGACGGTCAGCTGGCGCGTCTCGGTTGTCGACGCCTTGCCGCCTTTGCCGACGCCGACGCCTGAGGCCGTGGCTCGCGGGACGTTCTGCGTCCGGAGGAACAGCGGGGGTTCGCGGATCCCCATGCGAGGGGTGACGACCCATCGCCGCTCGAGGTGCGTGTCGATCGCGATCAGGTCGTTGTCGCGGCCGAGGACGACAATGTTCTGCGGCGGAACCTGGGCGAGTAGAGCCGCCACCTCTTCGAACTTAGGGTCGCGGTCCGGCGCACCGGGTACTCCCGTACGGATCTCGCGCGCTCGGTTGAGGAGGCGGGTGACGGTGCGGTCGCCCTCGTCGTCGCGGTGGAGGTACTGCTGGTCGACCGTCTGAGGCGCGTCGAGTAGGCATGTCAGCGTCCTTGTCGCGCGCCTTGCGCAGAGAAGCTCGGCGCACCACGCTGTACTCGAGCATGTCGATCATGTCGGTCTCCGCCGCTCGCTCGACGTCCCGCGCCGAGTACTTGCCGCCGCTGTAGCCTCCTCGTCGCCTGCGCTTCTTGATCTCACCGAGCTTGGGGAGGGGCTTGAAGAAGTCGTGGTCTTGCGTGTTGATCGTCATGACGCCGGCGACCGAGAGGTTCTGGAGGACTTCGTCCTGTTTTCGGAGGGCGGCGTGTTCGGCTGCGTGCACCTTGGCGTAGTCGATTCGCCCAGTAGCCGTGTTGCGGTAGCGCGTGCAGGCGTCAAGGTGCGTCCCGAACATCAGGCTGGTCGTCTCGCGGATGACTGCCGCCGCTGTCAAAGAGGTAGCTCGGTCAGCGCTCTCGAGCATGTCTGACGTCCTTGCAGTCCGACGCACGCTGACTCTGGTCCATGCTGGCTCGTAGGTGATCCGCGACGGCCTCCAAGTCGACAAAGTTGCCGACAGCATCGTTGCGTGCAGCTTCTTTCCTCGCCTCGGCCGCTTGTTGCTGTGCATATGCCTTGCGGTATATCCACGACGTAAACTCCTTGACCGCCATCCTGTTGCGAGTCGACGAAGCGGGTCACTCCGGATGATCCGAGGAGTTGCGCGAGGAGGGTGCGCGACTCACTCGTCGCGGGCGGTCTAGGGGCTCGCGTTCCGTGTCGAGGGCGTCTCCGTGACGGCTTGAGTCGATGCTGGCGTTCCCGGATCGAGTGTGAGCGGAGGTTGGGTGGTAGCAAGACGGGGTCGGTGTGGGTGGCGGTGAGGGGTGTGCGCAGCGTGGGAGGGTCGTTTGAGGATTGTTGGCGATCAGGGAGGATAGCAGGAGTTTGCTGTGCTGTCCTTGAGCGGCTGGCTGGTCGTGGTGTGGCGTGTACGAGGCAGAGTGCGAGGAGGGACTTTGGCTCCTCTCTTGGCTCGGCCACGTCGACTTCGCCCCCTTGCTGCGACTTCAGCACGCCTGACTCGTCCTGCTCGACGTTACAACGCTCTCGCCGGCCATGGAGCCAGCGAACAAGCGCTACTTCGCCGACGACCTCGACCGCGCGGGCAGCCCTTTTGACGGTGTCAGTGCGCTGCCTCCCGATCAGCGCGAGCTACGGGTCGCCATGCTGCACATGCTTGCCGTGCTGAAGGAGCAGTCCGACGCCGTGGCTGCCGCGATCCGGCACGAAAACGACTCTTCCCGCCCTGCCGACCGTCTTCGCCAGCGAGGTTCGTTCGCCCCTTCTCTCTCTCTCCGTTCGCGCGATCCTCGTTTCGATGCGCTGACAGTCTGGTCCGTGCAGACGACCTCACTGCGTTCTACCGTTGGACGGCCTACTACATTCGCACGCTCCCCTTCCTTCCTCAGACGGCCGAAGACCTCGCCCTCCTCGTCGCAACGGTCAGCCTGCGAGTGGGTGTCTCCGACATGCGCCCGTCCCGTATCCAGGCTGTCGTCTCGCTCCTCATGGGCCGCATCCCTCGCTCAACGAGTACGTTCCAGAGTTCTCGTGATTGGGCGGGAATGACGACCCGTTTCTTCGCCTTAGCAGTGTCCAGCGGCGGCGTTGCCCGCAACGAGACCTGGTACTGGGTTGCCGTCGCCAAGACGCACGGTGCACGTGCGTACGGCATCACTCGTCGTTTGCGAGAGTCTGCTGACCTTGCGGCTCGACAGCATTCGCCATTCTCGAGGCCCTTCGGCGGCTGAATGTCAGGAGCCACACCGCCTTTGCCAGCCGCTTCTCGAGCAAGCAGACCAGCGGTGGCGACGCCGACCCTGAAGGCGCCGTCGCTTCGCGCTTCCTCGAGCATCTCGGTCTGAAGAGCGCCCCGACCGCGCCCATTGCGTGCGTGGTCTCTTTCGCACGCCTCCTTGCGCGCTTTTCCTGACGTCCGAGGTCCACTAGCGGAATCACGCAAGACGAGGCGGGTCGTTGGTTGGAACAGGTCCAATGTGTGCTGTCCGACTTTGACCTGCCCCTCGCTCTGCCCGAGGCCGAGTCGCGCGAGGACAGCGATGGAAGCGACGAGATGGATGAGGACGCCGCTGGGACTGAAGAAGGCACCGAGAGATCCGCCGACGACATGTCGGTGGTCGTCGAAGCCCCGCTCGAAGGCGACCTCGCCCAGGCCGGCGCAGCTCCGACTCCCGCGAACCAGCCCCCTCCGATCGAAGTCCACCTCGCCGGCGGGTGTGCTACCTCTTCCAGTCTCGTCCGCGATGCCCTCGAGCTGATCCTCTACGTCTACCCACAGCCACGCCTGCGGCAAGACGGCCGCTCTCGACATCGACCTCATCCTCCGCATCCCAGCGCCTCGACCTGCGATTCGGGGTGAGCGCGACAAGGTGGCTGAAGCCCTGTTGTCGCGTCTCAGCGAGAAGCGTGCGTCTGGGCACCTCTGGAAGGCGGCTTCGGTTGACCTCGCCTCGTCCTGCAGTCCCCGTCTTGCGCGAGCCGGCGGCCGCTCCCGGTTCGCCGTCTGCGCCCGACCCGACCTACAACACGATCTTCCGCGAAGTCACCCTCCGCTCTCAGTTCGATGCGCGCGAGCCGAAGGTGTGGACCGAGACCTCCGTCGTCCGCATCACGGTCAAGGCAGACGATGCGCCTCGTCTGGTCCCCATCGACATCCTCATTGCGTACGATGACACTTTCGGGGCGGCGCAATTGTCCTTCACCTCGTCACCGCTCTTCCTCGACGAGCTGAGGCGGCATCTCGCCAAGCAGTACGTCGATCGTCTCGTCGCCCTCGCAATCGTTGTATCGCTCACTCGACTCGACGTGTCTCATGCAGGGATCTCGTCCTGACGGGTGGTGGGCTCTTCCGTCGACCCGGTGCGGGCGGCGGCGGCGAGCTCGAGCTCGTTCCTGTGCCGCTCGACGTCGGGGTATTTACGCGCGCGGATCTCCCTTATGTTCGTGAGTCGTGCGAGGTCCTCGCCTCGTTCCTCGTCCGATGCTCACAGCTGCTGGCTCTCTCTCTCTCTCAGGCCCGCCAGATCGCCTCGTCGATATCCCGCGCGCCGTCCTTCTTCGCGAGCACGCTGACTCCGCCTCGGCCGCCCTCATCGGCTCGAAATCGTTCGATTCGTTCGCCGCCGAGCTCACCGCCTTTGCGTGGGATCACAGCTCGGCGAAGCTGTCCGACCTCGACCGCGCCTTCCCAACTCGCTCGATTGTGCCTTCGCGCGCGCCTTTGCGCGACAACGACGGCTTGGTCGTCACCGAGCCGTCGTCCCCCGAGGAACGCAAGAAGCGCCTTGTGCCGGCGTCGGCGGCCCCTTCAGAAGGCGCCGAGACTCGCGAACCTTCACCCGAACCTCGAGGATCGGACCACGGCCGCGCCCGCTCGGTCTCACCTTCGCATCCTCGTCAGAAGCGCCGCGGAGAATCTGGGACGGCGATACCTCCTGCAGCAGCTGGCGTCCCCGCCCGCGGAACGTCTCACGCGAGCGGCGCTCCCACTCCCGCCCCTCCTGCCCCTTCCAATGAGGCGATCGCGACCGCTCCCGCCGTCGCAGCAGTCGCCTCTGCCAGCCCTTCCTCGCCGACGGCTCATCCTCCCGCACGCACCACCCGCATCTCTGCTACGCCTTTCAAGAAGCCGACGCGCAGCTCGCCTGCCCCGTCAGTTGTCGTCGGTGGTGCCGCGCAGGCTACGCAGGTGGGCGAGGCGTCGACACCTGCCCCCTCTCGCGACAAGCAGCCCGTCGAATTCGCGAACAAGCCGGCGCGCGTCTTCTCGTTCCGCTCGACGGAAGTTCCGTTGCTCTCGTCGGAACAAGGAGACGGTGCGTGTGTTCGCTCTGCCCGCCACCATGTCCGCTCTGATGTGCTCCATTTGTAGTCGGTCCTTTTACTCGAGGCGACGACCACACGGCGACGTACGTCTCGGGCAGCAAATCCATCAGAGGCGACGGCAGCTGCCTCCCTCGCGCCCTTGTCGAGAACGCGTCCAGCATGCAATCTCGCCTCAATCACGTCAAGCTGCGCGCCATGATGTGCGACCTGATGACCCTATTCGTCAAGACCCCGGCGCAGATCCTCCACCCGTCCTTCTCTCCTCCCGACGACCCCGAGCATGCCGACCCCGAGCACGTGAACGCTCTGTGGGAGCAGGTCTGGGAGGATCGAGGCATGACAACCGGTCGTGACCGGCCGAAGACCGTCAGCGGGTTCATCGAGTTCCTCCGAGCGACGAGCGTTTGGTGCGACGCGGCGGATTTGTTCTGGTTCAGTCTGATCCTCGGGCGCGAGATCGTCCTCATCTCCGAGGGCAGAGCCCCTTTCACTGCCGTCGCCGTGCGCCTGTTCGAACCGCCTTCGCTCGACGATATACCCGACGACGACGATCGGCAGCGCGTCCATGCCCTGGGTATCCCCATCGACCTCGAACACCAGAACGGTTCCGGCCCGATCATGATCCTCAACCAGGGCTCGTTCCACTTCATGGCGACACCGCTCGACCCAGGTCTCAGCACCGTCCTCGCCAACGTCTTCCAGCGCGCCCCGCGCCTCATACACGTTCCGACACTGCGCGAGGTCGTCACAGGATACGTCAACATGGTCTCGTTCGAGCCCGATGACCCTCCCGCCTTGCTTTGCGAGCCCTTGCCTCCTGCTCTTCCTCGCGCCCGTCCGCACTGATCTCGCCAGTCGCCCCACGGTGCGTGCCTCCTCATATTTGGCAGACAAAGATCCGAGCTGACGTCGGTCCGTCTCGCTCGGGACTAGTACGAGAAGTGCCATAGTTCCCCTCTGCTTCCCGAACTCTCCGTCCCGCGCGAGTAAAGGCCGCGTAGCAATGTAGGATACCGTGCAGATGCGCTCTGGCAGAGCTCTCGTGTCGTCGCCGAGAGACGAGAGCGATTGTTACCGATGGTGGCGAAAGCGGATGTGAGCGAGCGACTGGTTGCAGGTGTACGACATCCCTGTACGAGCGAGGGTCTGTAGCGTGACAGTGACAAAAGGTGTGGACAATAGAGACTCTGGATTGGCCATTGAAGCAGAACGAGGTCATTGTGAACGCCAGCTGCGGGACGAGGAGGTTGGAGACAGAGAGTCCCTCCGCTGAGGACAGCCGCCCAGGCTCCGCTCCACGGCGGCAGGTGACAGAAAATCCTTGAAACATCTTGTAGCTACTCATTGCGCTCGTCCTCGTGCGTCCCGGTGCTGCCAGGACCATTTCCCTTCGCCTTGAGCGCGGCCTTCCCATTCTTCTCCGATGCACTCCGCCTCCCATCCTCTGCAGATGCGCCTGTGCGTGACGTCGAGAGTGTAGACAACCGCCTGCGTAGACGGCCGTCAGGTGGTACGACAACGCCGAGGAGATCTGAGAGAACGCAGCGAGGGAGGTATGACGGTCCTTGACCTCGGTCGAGTTTGCGGTTCGCGTGCCCGGCATGTGTGGTCTAGAACATGCCTCGGGGGGGGGGGGG